AGGAAGACTTAGAGGAACGTACCTAGTCCGAAGTCTATTTTCTGAATGATCATTTCAAAAGTTGAACCGTGGACGTATTACATTCCCAAACGTTTCGTTGGCATCTTAGTCAGCATTGTCAGTGAGTATCGCCATTCTTAGCACCATACAACAACTCATCAAAAAGACAAGGGAAGCCGATCCTTTGACCAAACGTGTGCTAAACAATTGTGGTATCTCCCCTTCTGCTCTGGGTTATTCGCGTTTCCTGTAGCATCCTATCATGCCTTCACTATTACAATTTTTACCGTGCTTATTTAGATAGTGTGGTATGCTCCTTTGAGCGACATGACACCTTCACACATTAACTGTCGTTCTAACTCCCCATCCCTCCTTCATCCTTGTGCAGGGAATGTTGATCAGAGTCTGCTTTATTATTATGCATTCCCTTCTAGTCTTATCCCAGTCTCCCTCTCGAAACCCTACTCTAATACGAATCTATCCCTAATAACAAGTCTATGATTTGCCATGCCCTAGTCTCTTGTGTTCCAACCCACAAATGTTGTGATACTGCTGGGTTTGATTAGGTCAATGTTGAACCACAACGTTGGTGGGTTGGCACACAAGAGACTAGAGCATAGGAATTAATAGGCTTGGTATTATAGATAGAAAGAGGATAGAAACAGTGTAAGCTAGAGCTGGTTGACTAAAAATAGTCGTGATTCAAGGATCACGTTTAAAATCAAGCACGTCTATTGTTAGCCAAACAGATTTAGTCTCTACCTCGTCTTTCCTGTTTCTATCTATAATACGAAGCCTATTACATCCTATGCACTAGTCTCTTGTGTGCCAACCCACAAATGTTGTGGTTCAATATTGACCAAATCAAAACAAGCTGTACCACAACATTTGTGGGTTGGAACACAAGAGACTAGGGCATGGCAAATCATAGATTTGCTATTAGGGATAGAAAATGGATAGAGATGGCGGTGACTGGAGCTTGTTGGCCTATGGTAGGTCTGTTGTACCAGAGACGTGGTACATGTAACAAAGGGGCGACCG